GTTTTGCTCTTACAAGGACAAAGACACAAATTATTGCCTAAGATCTTTTATTGCTCCCATATTCATGTCCATTCATTCTTTTTAGAATTATTCTTATAGCCTCTTTTAATTTCAGGGCAGTCTGGCTTCTAATTTTTCTATAGTATGCAAAAGAAAGGCTTCTTAATTTGATGGCAGCCAAAGGTAGGAGTGATTTGCAAACTTAGAGCTCTTTTATTTTAGTGGTACGGGGGATTGAACTCAGGGCCTCACATTTGCTAGGCAGGTTCTCTGCCACTTGGTTCACACCCCCAGCCCTTTTTGCACTGTTTTTTTTTTTGAGATAGAGTGTCTGTTTATGCCCATCCTCCTGTTTGTGCTTCCCCAGATGACAGACATACACCACTGTGCTTAGCCATTTGTTGAGATGGGGTCATGTATACTTTTTGCTTGGACTGACCCCTAATGGTGATCCTCCCAATCTCTGCCTTCCAAGCAGCTAGGATTACAGGTTTGAGCCACCACTCCCAGCCTCAATTATTTTCTTTTGGTAAAGCAATAGAAGAAGCATTTTGCATCTAGGAAATAAAGTTTATGATGAATTGATGGAAGAGGAAGAAAAATATATAGCCAAACCACAGTAGCTACTGTTAATTTTCATTTCCTGTTTGGCACATGCTAAGCAATGTCCACACATTCTTTAATTGGTAAAATAGCACTAATATGCAGGTACTATTAGTGTTCTTGTCTTCCAGATAGGGGAGGAATAGATGAAGTGACTTGTCTAAATTCCCACCGTCAGTATGAGGTGGAGACTGGCTGCAATCCCAGTGTGGCTCCCCAGTTAGTTCTGTGCCCCATGCCCTTGCATTTTCTTGCCTGCTGAGGGTGCTGGTTGCTGAGCTGCAATTATGTGGCATTTGGAAAAGAGAAACTATTCAGGGTTCTGCCCAGAAAAGATTCAGATCTACCGCCAAGGACTATCAACCTTCCATTGACCGTGCATGCGAGAATTTCAAGACAAAATCAATCTATGATGTAAAAGGCAGGAGGCATTTGATGGATTTGTTGATGATATGATGGGGAAGTACAAGACTGCCTGCTGCTTTTCAGGGAAAGCTTGAATATTTGACCACTTGGCTACTGCAAAAAGGAGACAGAATTTGTAAAGCAAAAGCACCTTTACATTCAGATCAACTCTATTGTTTTCCTTTCCTGCATAAGCCAAGTCCAAAAGGAGAGGAGAGGGGGAGGAATCCACAGGTCCTGAGGGCTAATGCAGAGCTACAGCGCAGAATCACCAGAACTCGTGAGAACTTTCTCTGAGAAAACAAATAGGAACAAAGCCTGAGAAGGTCTGAAGGAGGGCCATTACACCTTCAGAGAACTGCTGGAAGACAGAGCCTCAATTCTCAGAAGTTACAGGGACCTTTTTCAAAGTCATTTGGACATTATTTGCATTTCATGGGCAGTGAATTAATCCTCTTACTCTTCTATCCAATTTCGTATTAGCATTCCTCAAGCAATTTAGAAAGTTTCTTTGTAGGCTCATCTTCAGAGGAAGTTGATTTTTTACTTTTCTGTCGCTGTATCACTTCATTACCTGTTTGCATAGCAGTTTCGAGTTGTTTCCAGAACTTTCAGGCTAAAGCTGGGTTTTTCTATAGTCCACCATGGCTCTTGTCTTGGGAACATGGCAACGGTTAGTCAGTGAGTTTGTGAGTGGTTGGGCCAAGCATTTACCAGACAGAGGCTTTTCTCAGCTTCTTCCAGTAATAGCAGGTCTCATCTCTCCAGGCGCCATGGCAGTAGCCAGTGGTCGTGTCACATTCATCTCTTCTTGCCTGCTAAGAGGGAGGGTAGTGCTGCTACAACCTCCTGCCAGCAGGAGGTGCACTTTTATTTTCCTGTTTTCAGATAGAAGCCAAACTCCTGGCTTCCTCTGCTCCTTGGCTGCTCCAAGCTTTTACCTCATCTCTGCCATTTTGTTTTGCTTGATTCTTGTCCTAGAAGATGTGTCTTTTTTTTTTTTCTTTTTCTTTTCCATCTCTGTCATTGTTGTGTTTAGAGGAAAATGGAGTGTGTAAAAAGTAATCTCATAGTGATATTTTTACTTAGAAAAGAGAGACATACTTTAACTGAAAGAAGAGGAAATTTTTTCTAGTTTAATCTCCCTAAAATAATACTGGCTAAATCTGTGAATACAAATACACAAAGGGAGACTAAATGATCATCTCCCTGAGAAGTTTTAAAGAGAGGGCTCCCTTTCTTTCCTCTTCTGAATATGGTGTTCAATTAGATTTCTGCTAAACTCCACAATGAATCTGTTTCTACTCAGGGCTTTTGGTGTCTGCACTCAGTGATCCCTGATTGTTGGCTGTTCTGAGTGTTTCTGTCCTCTCCCATCACCTTTTAACCTTTTCTTGTAGTTTATGAGAGCTATCCATTTCCACAGTGTTTAGTTTGTGCTTCTAGCAGCACAGGAGCAAGGTCTAGCATAGCCATCAGAACAAATTTAGCATGTGGCATTTGTGTTTTCTTTTCCTTCAACAGCAGGCTTTGCTGGTACCGTGTATAAAAGAGCTAAAGAAACTTTGGTTAGAATTCAAGGATTGTCTAGGAGTAAACTGTCCTGTTTTGGGGAATGAGTGAACTTTCTGATTCTTTTATAGGTGTGGATTTTTAGTGCATATATTGGGCGAACATTGTGTGCTTTTAGAAGGTGAACACAACTTTGCACTTCATTACATTCTGGGAAAATCGTTGTGGAAGAGAAAGGATTTTAGATGAATGTCAGAGATTTGGTATTACTCTGACTCCACCCTTTTATTTAGTGTGGAGAAAATTACTGGATCTCTCTGCATCATTAACTGAATTTGATTCCGCCATTTCTTTTTTTCTTTTTTCCTTTTCTTCTTTTTCTTCACTTCCCTTCCTCCTGTTTCTTACCTACCTTCCTTCCTTCTTCATTCCCTTCCCTTCCCTTCCCTTCCCTTTCCTTTCCTTCCCTTCCCTTCCCTCCCCTCCCCTCCCCTCCCCTCCCCTCCCCTCTCCCTCCCCTTCTCCTTCCCCTTCCCCTTTCCTTTTTCCAAGACAGGGTCTCACTATTTTCCCAGGCTGGTCTTGAACTCCTGGGCTCCAGCAATAGTCCTGCCAGATCCTTTTGAGTACCTGAGACTGCAGGTATAACCACCATGCCTGGCTTTGATTCAGTAATTTCTAGGGTTTCTCCAGCTCCATAGATTTTAAAGTCGCATGCCACTGGCTCCGTGGATACTCAGACTATTTCCAGAACTGGATTTAATAGCTTTGTTGTTATTTGTTTTATTTTTGTGATGCTGGGGGGGAGGGCGTTGAACACAGGGTGTAGCCATGCCGAGTAAGTGTTCTATCATTGAGATAGACTCCTGGCTCCCCTTTATTTTATTTTATATTTTTCAGAAAAATGCTCTTGCTAAGTTTCCCAGGCCAGCTTCCTGCCTCAGCCTCTGACTTCTCTGCATCAGCCTTCCAAGTAGCATGGATTACAGGTGTCTGCCACTCTGCCTAGCTGGGTTAGAACTTTATTGAAAAGCTTCTCACGCTGTTGCAGTTAACAGGTTGAGTGTCGGCATTAGTTATACTTGATTGATTTTGAACACCAGCTCTGCCACATAAGCAACGTGATATTGATGTTACTTAGCTTTCCAAGTCTCAGTTTCTTTACAAAATGGAAATTAAAATTAAATTCTAGAGTTGCTTTGAACTTTAATAAGTGATTTTATTTAAAGGACTTTGCTTAGAGATAGCATATAGAATGTAATCAGTATGTCATCTTTGTATTATTATAAACTTCTGAGAGCAGCTATTTTTCCTTATCTTATCTTGACCCAACTCATTTGTCTCTTTATTTCAATTGCTTCATTCTGTGTCTTACTTGTAGCATTCATTAAATGTACTGTTAAAGTGTTACTTTAAAAAACATGACTTTCATACAAATATAGCTAGAATCAGTGTGTTTCACTATTTTGCTTAGCCTTTTAATGAGAGAACCAGAAAGGCAGTAAAACCGATTTACCAGAAAAGTATAGGAAAGAATTATGTGGTTATACCAAAATACTTTTTTCTAAATTTGAGACGAAATTGGTTAATGTACTATGGTGGAATAAAACCATAAGCTTTAAAGTAATTTCTTTTTTGACATTTGCAGCTCTACAATGTCATGCTGTAGTTATAAAATTCTTAGGCAGGCCTGCAAGACAGTAGTCTTGTGTGAAATCATAAGGATATGCAAATTTCTTTTTGCTAGTTCCAGATTTGGGATAATTTTTCTAAATAGTTATAATAATAAGACTATAACCAAAGTATTATTTATCTTAGAAAAAGATTAAACAGGGTATGTGACTCTAGTATAGAATTATCTACTTTCTGCCTAAATTTATCATAATATATACTAGGTCCACCCAAACTTATGTTTTCATCGTGTTTCATTAAGGAGAATATAAGGATATTTTGGAAAACACTGCTAATTTCCAAGGTGATGCTGTGGAGGATAACTGTTTAAGAGTGCTCACATGGACTGCAGATGATGTTAAGGTTTTCTATGCATTTTAGTTTAATCTGTAAACAATCATGTGATTATGTATTATCAGGTACTATTATCCCATTTCGAAAATCAGGTAAATAAGTCTCTGTGAGGTTAAATAATTTAATCAAGGTTATGCAGCCAGTATGAGTCAGAATGGAAATTTAGTCTGATTCTGAGTCTGTCATATTGCCTCTCTAAATCTTAAATTCTCCTAAATTTGAAAGTACATCCTGTAGTTAAATACAGATGAATGGGTCTTGTTTTGCTTAGATGTACGAAACGGTCCTTTTCCTGAGAGGAGTGGCCTTACGTTCCCTACTCACCCAATTGAAACATATGTTTTAAAGAAAGACTAAAACCATCCCTCCAGCCCTTTACAGCCTCCTTCTGTGAGTTGTCTTCTTTGTCACTTATTTTCTTCTCTTCTCTCTTCTGGCCCCCAATGTGTTTGCAGGTGGGCTGGATCCTTTCCATCCTCGATGAACTGCAGCTGAGCCCGCAGCCTCCTGTTGGGGTCCTTCCTCTGGGGACTGGGAATGACCTGGCTCGGACTCTCAACTGGGGAGGGGTAAGAACTGACATTGCAGGCTGCCCCATCCATCGAGGAACAAGTAGCATCCACAGGTCTCCGCGTGCTCACGGAAGGCTCTCATGGAAGCAGTGTGCTGCTGTCCACAGAATGGGTTCGATATGGGAATTAAAGTGCCCATGATTTTAGCTGGTGACTTCTTCAGTTTAACGTCCAGTCAGCCAGAAGGGAAGAGAAAGCTTAGAACCAGATAAATATGGGTTTGGTACACAGGCTGGAGCTTCCTGAGGTGTCCTTTGGAATACAGCGGGTGGAGTGACTTCAAGTCTTCACGTAAAACAGTCTTAAAAACTTGAATTCATCTTGACCATCAGCCTGGCCAGATCGCAAATCTGGTAATAACCCTTCCTTTTTGAGCATTGGGTTTTTCTGATCAGTGTTATTATGGCTTTGGCTGTACAGGTATCTAACTGTCCTTCCCATTATGGAAAATGTTGGGCAAGCAGTTCTCTTGCCACTAAATAGCCATTTTATTTATTTATTCACTGCGTTAGATAGTAAGAAGGCACAATATAATAACGTATATAGCCTTACCAACTTTTCATCTGGTCATATTAGGTCATTGCCTAGACTAGGTTTTGTCTCACATGAAAATTATCTTCAGATATTAACCTGGCCTTTGCGTGAATTGGCCTTTCACAGACTTTTGTTTTGCTAGTAGCAGTACATAAATAAGTGTATTTATCAGAAGTAGCTAAGGTGTTCTCTATGCTGATGCTTCACACCCACTTAACCCTTTGGCTATCTTTAATAATCGTGCTCTCAAAAATGGATCTTTAAAAGTAAGAAGCTCTTCCTACAAAGTGAGGGAGAGGTGAGTGAGACAGTTAATAGGTGAAAGATATTTATGGGAATCCTGCCTTGATTCTTCCTCTCTCTTCTAAACACATTTGTTCTGCATACACCCCAAATTCCTCTAGTTAGAGGTATAAAGAGTCTTGATTTTTACTCCGGTAAAAGCAACCATCCAGCATGGCTACCAGTACTTACCAGTGACTGTTGGTTCTTGGTGCTGGTAAAAGTTATTTCTCAGCTCAAACCAGCCAAAGCTAGTGTTTTTATGCAACTTTCTTGTGAATATTACCTTTAAAATATCTGGAGAAGAACAATTCTCTCTTGTCTTGCCTATTAGAAAATAAGCAGAACTACAGTAGAACTCTTCACTATATTCAATGGCACAGGCTTTCTAACCTAAATAGCACTGTGTATGTTTTCTGATTCTGTTCTCAGGGCTACACTGATGAGCCTGTTTCTAAGATCCTATGCCAAGTAGAAGATGGGACCATTGTACAGTTAGATCGCTGGAACCTGCATGTGGAAAGAAACCCAGATTTGCCACCAGAAGAACTTGAAGATGGCGTGTGTAAGGTTAGAGAATTTTTCTTCAGCAGGAAGGAGCCCTGGAGCATCACAAGAGTCACTGAAACACATCCCTGCTATAGACATGTGCTGACTCCTTCATGTCTGGCTTCTAGGGTTATGAGTATAATATCACCACCCTTTGATCTGCCCCATAGACCTTTAAAGACTTGCTTCCAGAGCTCAGGGATCTGTTCTTTGTCTTCACCTTCCACCCTAGAAAGGCATGTATCCATTTATTAATCTTTCAAGATAACTGTAAGCAACCTATGAAAAATGGAATATATATGTGTTCTAAAGCATTAGACAGATTAGAAAGAAAACCTCAGCAATATCTGGCCTGGTATCAGATTTGCCTTATGGATAAAAGGTATTAACTCAAGCAATATCATCCCCTGGTTGTGACTTGGAAATGAATAAACAATTGTTTTGTCTTACTGTTTCATTTCTAGAAGTTCAGCTTTTATCTCAACCCAAAGCAAACTAAGGGCCATAGTTGCAAATAAGATACTTTGCAGCTTTACTCAAATATTTGGTTCTAAGTTCTGGTCTTGATTTCTGATAAATTTGGTAGGTTGCTGGGTAGACACTTTCTCTGTTTTCCACTGCTCTTCTATGAGAGTGTTTCCGAACTTTTGTTTACATAAGAATTTCCAGGTGCTTGTTAAAATGCAGATGATGAGGCTCCCTCGCCAGAGATTCTAGTAAGTGAATTCAGAAATAGAGCTCAGGTATCTGCATGTTATATAACATCTCTGCTGTTTGGGCCATGCCATTGATTGAGGTCAAGACTTAATAGATGTTTCAGCCTTGAAAAGGATTGAACCCCATATCATTTTAGATAAAAACCACAGACCATTTATTCATTATCTGCCAAGTGTGATAGATGCTTAAATTTCTTATTTGGATTAATACTTTGTTAAAACATGTTTGGTCTTGTTTTGATTTTTTGCACATAAACCATGATCCTGAAATTAATAAAGTTTCTAGTAAACATCATGATTACCCAGTTGAAGTTGAGTTCATAATGCAGTAATGCTTTTTAAACAACAAAGTGTGTGATATGCTTAACAGGTATATTTATTTGACTTATAGAAGTTGGATAGGAAAAGCCAAAGTAGAAAAGAGGAGAACCATATGGAAATTTTAAGGTCCTTCTCCTACTAAACTTGGAATGCTTAGGTCTATAATAGAAATTCATATTTAATTCTCTTTCCAACTGCTTAAGAAATGGAAAGACTTCTTGATGCAGCCAGGGAACAGCAATCCAGATAATTAGAGGGTTTTAGAAATGGATTTTTGAGGAGATGTGTAGAAAATTGGGGCACATTTTCTTGGAAAATGTGAATAACGTAAAAACAAACTAAATTGGAATATTATTTAGGAGATGGTAACCAGATGTTTTCCTTAGCTATCAGTGGACATTAAGACATGGGTTAGAAAAGTAGCCAAGAGAACATAAATGGTAGAGGAGAACATTTCTGTGTTTTTGGCAAGGTCACTGTGCTGCCTTTACTAAGAACTGGTGTTTGTTTAAGTGTGGGAACTGGACATTCTCAGACATGAAGCCAAGATAGTCAGACATGATTTTGGCATTGTTCAATACATTTAGTTTCTTTCTCCGGCTCTGCTCCCTAGGTTGTCGAAGCTATTTCTAAGGGCTAATTTAGCCTATGAATCTCAGGGGCTTCTATGTTGGGTCCTTCCATCTATCTGTTAGAAACCAAGGCACTCCAATTTCCTTCTTTCTGCATTAATATCTCTCTTGTTTGCTCTATCATTTCATTTTTCTCTTAACGGGACATTCCCCTTGTAGTCAAACAGAACATGTTACTGATCAAAGGGCTCATGAAACACTGTAATAAACATACTTTTGAAACCGTGAGGGATTATTTATTTCTGATAGCAGAGCAGTGCAGTTCAGTTTGGGACATAAGCTTGACAGTTATCTGGAGACATTGCCTCTGTTTACTGAGTTGCAGAAGGAAAAGTGGGAAGAAGCACTCTTGCCCTTCTTACATTTTCCATATGCCTTTCTAATTGTTCTAAATTGAACCAAAGCTTTGAGATATCAGATTTGCAACCTCAGTATAGAACTTTAGGTTGCACAGTTCTATCCTTCACCACATTGCAGTAGGAATAGCCTGGTACCCAAAGAACTGTGGGAAGGAAAGTGGAGGCATTTGTGTAGCTGTTTGTACATTTCATGGTCATATTAAAGATACAAGTTTGACCAATTAAATGGAAATCTGAATTATATATATTGTTCATATGTACATGTATGTATTGTTTTTTCCTTCTATATCAGCAATAGCTAAATTGAATAATTCCCATGGCCTTATATCTTATATGAGTTTTGTCAAAAAAAGTTTAAAAAATAGATGGCAGGTAAAAAAATTAAATATTTTAGGTAACAATATTCATATCCTAAATATAAAGTCTTGAAAAGAGTGCATCCACTGATTAAGAAGCGAGATTAGACATGATCCTCGCAATTGAATTTACTTTTGAGTTCACTTAGTAAATCATTCTTTGTAACTATTGCACATATGCATATCCCAGCTTAACAAGTTTCTATTATTACAACATGTGCAAGAATGATTCTTATTTAATAATTGTATTTCTAGCCCCTATTTCTTATACTAAATATAATTCTTGAGAGAATTACCTGATATGAGGGTTCACTGATGAACTAGTTCAAGAGACCCTGTTTCTCCTACATAAAAACTACCCGCTTTGAGTTGTGATGGTCTTTCTCCCAGGGACTACTCCAGAGATAGATGTCTGGCATTACGTTTTATTTTTCTCTTTTTAGCTGGCTATGTTCAACTTTACCTCTCTACCTTTGTTTATCATTTGCAGCTTCCTCTGAATGTTTTCAATAACTACTTTAGCCTTGGATTTGATGCTCATGTCACACTGGAGTTCCATGAATCCAGAGGTGAGGACAACGTCCCATTTCCATCTCCCAGGGAGGAAGTTTCCAGCAGGTGTTTTGCATGTTCCCTTCTGTTTGCATATCACTTAAGTGTTGCAGTGTACTTTGGTTTTCCTCCATTTTGTCCCTAGTGATGACCCTGGAAGCTAGACCAGATAGGAACTTACTACAAATGTCATTTAGGGTCTCAAAGATAGTAAAGGACTGGGCCATAAGTGCATTCCAAGTTTTGGGACTGTTCATCTTTAAGTTTGATGGGAAATTTTGAAGCAAGTGAACTGCTAACACAAAAAAGACTCTTTCACTAATTAAGATAACATAATTTAACAGACCACTACTAATTAAAATTCAACAGAACCATTAAAATATGATAACAGAGACAAAAAAGAAAGAAGCAACAGGTATATTAACACAATAGAAGGGCTATGGTAGTTTGTGTAGGAAGAAAAGAGTGTTATGGTAGTTGGATTAGGTAGGAAGGTGCTGGATATCCTCACTGGATAAGACAGAGGACAGACATATGAATGAGGCTGAGTAGTAATTTTAGGTACAGAAAGAGCTTGGGGTCATGACTCAGAGTGGAAGAGAAGAAAAACAAGTTCTGAAAGAGAAGTAAGATGCACTAATGATATACAGTAAACTATTTCATCTAAATTTTCTTATGCCATTTGGAACTGAGAAAGTTTTACATTATGATTTATGCTTGGTAACCTTAACAAATCTCTCTCTCTGCCTCTCTCTCTGCCTCTTTCTCTCTCTCTTTTACAACTATACTGTGTATCCCAATCTATGCCTGTTAGCTATAGCTATATTAGTACCTGGCTCCATCTGACTCTATTTATATATAGTCACAGTAATGCTAAGATGTAGGTTATAAGAAACTTGGGAGGTAAAAGTCATGAATGAGGAAATTAGGTTTCATAAGGCTTTGAGGAGATAGTTTCTATGGAGGTCAATTTCAGTGTCAAACAAGAGCAATACTGATTGAAGAGTAAGCCATATTTTAGTCTTCCTCTCTGATTAGCTAGAAAATCTCAGGCAGAAAGGACAGTTAATAAAAGAACTTCAAACATCCCAAATTAGAAACACCACCTCCCTTCCACATCCCTGCCATAGACAAATCTTAAGGACTAGATATTCAGAGGGAAGCACATTAGGGTTAAATGTTATAATCCATGTTCTTCCTATACTAGTGAGAGTTCATTTAGAAAGTTAATGGGAGACTTCAATTTTCATTTCTTAGCCCATTTCCCCCACTCAGTGTTCTTTAAGGGACTATGGATCTGGGTTTCTTTTCCTTTGGGTGGGACTGGGATTTGAACCCAGGGCTTCGCACTTGCAAAGCATTTGCTGTACTACTTGAGCCACAGTTCCTGTCCATTTTGCTCTGGTTATGTTGGGGTTGAGGTCTCATGAACTATTTACCCAGGCTGGCTTTGAACTTCAATCCTCCCAATCTTAGCCTCCCAAGTAGCCAGGTTATAGGTGTGAACCACTTGTGCCTGGCCAGATCTGGGTTTCTTACTAATAAGACCCTCCCAAATGTTTTATTTATTTATTTTTATTAGGATAGATTTTATTAGGATAGAGGGGTTCACAGTGTTCCAAGTTTTTTTTAACAATACTTGCAAAGTGACACAATTGTCATTAATACATGAATTTCCCGAAATAGGCATCATGACATGAAAAGAGGCCAAAATGAGTAAGTGGCCCATAATTAGCTCATTCAAGTGAGTCTAATATTTAGCCTAATTTTTCTGAAAGTTATTCTAATGACATACTTCCTTGTACTATGATGAAATTTCTATTTATCAGTGTGAGGAGAGAAGGGAGAGACACCAAGGTAGAAAGACCAAGTTTAGAAAAGACTCCTTTTGGGAACAGTGATTTTTTTTTCTCCTATTTTAAGCTATGGAACTACTTAAGTTTAGAGTGGAGTATGCAGATATGTTGTTGTGTGTATATTTATGTATATAGTTTTATGTGTGTGATTATAAAATAATTGATTAAAACATGCCAAGCATTAGTCTTCAAATAGTTTATTGCTGAAGGTTAGTGCATTTTAATGTGGCATGAAATAGAATTGCAAACATTTTCCCTGCATATAAGCCAGAGCCTTTGAGAAATACCTGCCATGAAAAGCTGATTTTTTTTGTTGAGTTTTATTGATTGAGAATAATAGATACAATATTCACAAAGATAAGCTAGAGATGGCAAAAAGTAAATGTCCATAAGGTATTTGAACTAATTTTTTGTTGCTAATCCGTAATCCTAGACTACAGACAATGCAGTATCTATTAACCTGTTCTATTTATATGAAGTAAAATCATTATTCATCTATGAAAAGTGTAATTACTCAAGATATTTTTTAAATTTCTTTTTTTCTTTCTTTTTTCTGATTTCTGTACATTTGGCTTTTCCCTATATTTTTATCTCATCACTCATGGAATCTTAATCTAATCTATAAAAGAAAAAATGATAAGTAAGGCCACATTTTCAATGGAGGTGGGGGCTGAGTCTCACTTTGGAGTGTAGGGGGTTTAATATCAAGTGGCTACTTTTAAACCAAGACTACTCATAGTTGAGACTTCAAATTCTTCATTTATAATTTATAATTTGAGGCAAAACTTATTTGCTATAAAATATCTAGAGGGTGACTCAAAGTCTCATGAGAGCCATTATGAAAAAATGAGCTTGAATAGAATAACCTATTGGGTATTAGTCAAGAAAATGCTGTATTTTAAATTTGGGGTTTTGCCAGGCTGTTGACATGTAGTGGATAATAATATAAATCTCATGGAGGTAGAATTTTAAAAAAATGTAACTGCAGAAAGAATTTTTGTTATAGATGTGAAAATAGCTCATCAAATGGCTAGTTCTTAGCTGAATACCATACTGTATTTCTTTTAGAAGTGATAATTTAAATGACATTTATGTGAAACAGTTTATTGGTGTCACTACTGTGCAGATGCTTTTAGAATTGCCAGTAGAAAATCAAGCAGGGAGTAAGAACAGTCTTAATATTTTGTTTGACTTTGTAAATAAAGATGGCAAATATTTGACAATTTGGGTTCCTATATTTGATTAGAAAGAAAGGATACTTTACTTGATTTGAAACAGAGTTACTTTTGGTTCTTAAAGTGAGCAAACCTTTCATGATTGAACTGTTGTATAAGAAAGTACAATAGTTTGTAACAGAATTTGGAGTTGCAATAGGATTGGTTATTTAGTTGTCACTTGGAGTATTGCCCAGTACCTTCACCATTATTGCATCATCACAGTGTTTGAGTGAGTACATTGAAAATATTTGAATGAGATTGTCACTGTTTTAAATAGACTGACAGATTTCTTCAGAAAATGAAGCAGAATGCACAGGCATACCTCTTAGGCAAGGCACGACATATGGGAAGGGCACCAATAGGCGGGTTTAGCAGGGGTGCAAACACTAGGAAAGGTGAGGTGGGGGCTCCTGTTGAGCATCATTTGGATAAGTGGCCACCTTTGCTCTAGGCACCTGGTACTTCCTAGTCATTCCTGTTGCTATAGTATTTTGACATTATGAGTTCAGCCCAGAGACCTTAAGTCTTAGAAGATGACCAGTCCTTAGTCCTTGCAACCCAGATTTCTGCTTCATGTGACTTTAATGACCACCCTTCAGATCAAGGGAGAGGAGGGGATGAGGCAGTTTTCTTGGATGTATGCATGACTGTTCCCTAAAGTGCAGTAATCACAGGAAGCAAGGGCAAAGGTGGAGAGGGCAGGGCAGGTCATCTTTTTTTACTGCTCAGTAAAGGAGCATGAAGCTTAAAGAAAACAAAATGGTATTTCTATACTTAAGATGATGTTTATTTCTGAATTTCTGGTTTCTGCTCTTCACGTCCCAGGTCCCTAGTCTATTCTGCTTTAAAGCCGTCAGCTAGCAGCAAGCAGAGCCATGTCCTGGCAAGGTCATGGGAAAAGTAAAAAGAAGGAAGCAGGTGCAGCCAACAACACTGATCTGGCTGGAGATTGTCACTTTTAAAACATGATTTTAAATATATCAAACTTTTTAGTGTGAGATTGGATGCTTACATTTTACCATCTCATTGAAATTATTTATTATTCAGGAGAGTTGAGCCTTATGCTACAAGGTGAAGGAAATGCATTTATAACTGTGGAGGAGGCAATATTTAAATTTGATTTAGGATTTACTATTTTTACTGTATGTACAGAGACCGGCAGATCAGCATGTTTCAAAGGATTATAAATGTTTCATGATTCATATCACAGAAAACTGACAGATTTTCTTAAAAGGTGTTATTTGCAATGGTTTGGTAAATTTTATCATTGCTGTCACTGTAAAGGACACTGCATGTCTCTTGTCTATGCATTGAAGTCCAGTTCACCCTTGAGAAACTCTCATTGTCTGTGTTTCTTTGTCTGACACCTTCTTTGCCATCTAGAACTTTTGTGTGACACCTACTCATGGTTCCACTGTATTCTCCCTCCAGAACACATTTATGATCATCCCACCCCTTTTCTTCTCCTGTACAGCTATCTCTCATAGCATATGGAAAATGGTGTTTTATATTGCATTTTCAGACCTGCCTCCCCTACTGTAAACTCTATGAGGGCAAAAGACTGCATCTTGTTTACTTCTATATTTCCAGCTCATAGCCTCGTGGCTGTCTCAATATGTGTTTGTTGCAATAATAGAATATTTAATTAAAGGATAGACCCCATTGGTTAAAGATAAATAGCAGTTTTATCTATTTATGGTAAAGGCAAGATTAATTGTGTAGGCAGTAAATAATATAGGTGTTTGGTAGGACTGGTGGCACAGGAAAGGTGTGGGGAAAGAGTCTAGAAAGTATAGGAGGTGATACTTCTGGGATATAAAAGAGCAGTGTGATAGAGATAAGAAGCAAAGTGAGTAAAAGCATTTTAGACAGGACAGAAAAGTACAGAGGACAGGTGAGGTTATCCTAAGAATAGGTTAGATGAGCAATTAATGCACAAGGAAAGGATTTGCTATGATTTTAGAAAAATGATGTCTTTTTATTTCTTTTATTA